ATGCATAAATATTACATGAGACTGGGTTATTGATATGAAAAATGACTGTAGTTTAAATAAGAGCATTGTCTTTTCCACTGCGACGCTACGTAGTTCATAGGAATTTCACCGACATTTCGGAGGAACTGCCTCCATATTTGTACTTTCCTCCACAACATCGGTGAAATTTTTACTAGACTACACGGCTTCATATTCCAAAAAACTCTATACTCTTCATAATCCCAGCTGTGATAACCTGCGTTCTCATATACTTTCATTAATTTCATTGTTATAAATTAAACAAAACTGCTTGAGAAATGCTCAGACGGTTTGTAAATTAATTTATCATTTCATCGGCTTTATTTTTACTGTAATTGTATAACATTAGCTCCTACGTGAAATAAGTTTCAATGAACAGGGACAACAAAAATCATATTCAACAGAAAGACGGCCTATCCTTAAGTAGTCGCTAAGTACTCAACTTAAGACAGGCAAATCAATGAGCATATCCGTTATTAATGAATGGAATCGTTGAGCAAGGTTAAATCGATTCTATCAAAAATGAAATTTAGATCCGTCAGCCACTTACGAAATTCGACTGTCCCATGATATAGCTATTACTTTATGTAAATGCACGTCCACAAAATTAAGGTGCGGTTTGCAGATTTCAGTGTTTTATTAAAATCGGTATCAGAATTATGAATGAAGGAGAGACGGGAAAGTAGAATAAGTTTAAATTACAAACTAACTATAACCAGACGGCACTTACATCCTGTACTAATATTGAGATTATATCAGGAAATGAACTTTATTAAATAAGCGACGAAAAAATTACTTATATTCTTAATAAAGTTCGACGTGAGGCTCATTTTTATTTTGTGCACGTCCATTCGGTATTACAGTTCCAGTTTTTTAATTCGCTTATTGAGGGGTGGAGTCCAACTGGGTCCACTCGGCACGGCGGCCACTGATTGGCCTATTGTAGCCTGCCCCAGGAGAGTATGATGATGGAGAATTTGGTGGAATGAAGATTGGCAGGGGAAACCGAAGTACTCGGAGAAATCCCGCCGCAGCGCCACTTTGTCCACCACAAATTCCACTTGACCAGACCCGGGATCGAACCCGAGCCGCCGCGGTGGGAAACCAGCGACTAACCGCTTGAGCTATGGCGCGGCCTTTTCTGTTCCAGTTAGGCCTTGTTTCGAGTGAGAATATCTGAAGTTTCAGCATCGACTGCCTCCGAGACATTGCGTCAGATCGCCAGCGTCATCAGTTTTCGCATACACCCACAGATATAAAGGAATGAGGTGCGGAGATCTATGTGGCCTCTTTTTCTTTTCCGAAGTTCCTCTGCACTCGGCGGTCTTGAGAATCTGTCATTTATACTATCGCAAACTTTCCGTGTTATAACGTACTGAAAACGACAGAGACATCTGTGAGCTTAATGGAGAAGCATTTCCTTACGTGCAGGTTTATTTTCATAGGAGTGTCTTCCCATTTTTTATCTGAAAACCTAAAGACTGAAATACAGAAAACTGCAATCTTACTTATTGCTTTATATCGATATAAAGCTCAGACATCCGAACTAAGGAAGTAACATATATTGATGATGAGGAGTTCTATCTTGTGGAGTGCAGTGCCGTATAGTTCGGGGAAAATCAATTGACGTTTTAGAGCAACACAGCACCTCCATTTTCAGAGCTCAAGATAAAGACAAACAAAAAAGAGGAATGAAGCAGGCGGCAAGGTGATTGGCGACACATTATTCTGAAACGTCGGATTATTTCACCGACAAACTTCAATCAGACTACAAGGTGTCATACTAGAAAATCAAACTTAGATCCAAAAATAAATTCTCCTCTTCATAAAGACATATTTAAAACGTTTAATCAATAGCATATTAAATCTCCTTAAAATATTTACAATTAGCTCTACTACATATTCAGTTCCATTTACCTTTATAAAGTATAAATCATTATCGACTTCTAAAAATTGATTTAATATCTATCTATCTATGGTTCTGCAGTCCTTTTATTCGAAATTGGCTGTTCTTTCGGTTTCTTAATCCTATACAAACTCGGTAGGACTCGGGGGATCAGCCCGTCGTAAGGCCGCTACCTACACACAGAACAACATAAACACAGAACAAACGCACACAGGCATCCATTTCTTAAGTGGGATTCTAACCCACAATTCTAGCGTTAGAGCGAGCGAAGATGGTTCATGCCTTAGACCGCGAGGCCACTGCGATCGGCAGTTGATAATATACCTAACAAAAATCAGGCCGGTATTGAAATGAATCTATGGAATTAAAAATTAATTTTTCTTATTCATTTTCTCAAAAAAAAATTTTGGAAAGAAAACTATATCACTACATTTTTACCTTATATATTAATAATTTAAAAGCTTCAGTCCACTATAAAAGATAAAGTTACAGCCTGTAAGTTAATTACAAAACAGTGTTTCATAATAGCTTTAGTCGTATTTCTCTATTGCGACAAAGAATAGTCATCTTCTACAAAACGTTCAAATACAATATTCCAGAACCACATAAAACAATTTATTTTAATGAAACCTTGGCTATATATGAAAAATTACCACGAAATTGTAACGTATGCCACTTTTCGGAATTCTCAATTTTCTTCAGTTGTAATTCTTGTCTATATGAACAGCTTGTTTCAGAACTTAATTATGTCTTAATATTTCTTAAAGTAGGGTGAGGGACGGGCTTACTTCCAAATTGGTATAACGCATAAGGGATGTTGTAAACATGTCGAATTAATTTCAATGCATATCCCGAAATAAATTTCTGATAGAATTTCATAAGGAAGTCTGTTCAGAAAGTCATTGCATGGAATCGATCGCCTGTGTTTACATTAAGGTGACTGGCAGCATGTAATTTCGTCAACCACTTTATTCAAGACCCGCCACATTTCTGGAACCGGCCTATTACAGTAATCCTCTTTTAGACCTCATAATAGTATTCGACGTTATGCTTACATTTTCTTGGGCTCTGTTATACTCTGTTCTTTGAAAACCTGCTATAGAAGTGAATGTGTCTGTCTGTCCGTCCGTTGCCCGTATATACAGAGTGATTCTACATTATTGTCGGTGCTTCCGTGGCTTACAATTTTCACACCGGAAAAAAGTAAAATTAAACTGCTTACTGAATATGAAAGTGTAATTCAAGGAGGTCTATTATCTATAGAGTCAATACTGAAGATTGGTAAATAACTTCATCATGTGCGCCTTTATTTTGTTGTTACCGGTTTGAAAATTATATGTCACGGAAACCTCGACAATAATTTAGAATCATAATGTATATATACGAGTGCATACACACTAATTGCATAATTTTCATATAAATCGCTGTACGTCACATGAAACTGGTGACCTCCCCACCCCTCTCTTTTAATTTTGATCCTCTTCTCATCTGCAGCACAAGAACCACAGACCCGGGACATGATAATGAGTCATTATGGGAATATCAGTCCAGCATTCTAATAACACTGAGCTGAGCCCTTCTTGAGTAGCCAACAATTGTGCAGCTACTCAAGAACTTCCCAGCATTTTATGGAACCAGAAGGTTCATTACCGTGTTCACAAAAGCCCTCTACTGGTCCCTATCGTGAGCCAGGTCAATCCAGATCATACCACTCCAACCTATTCTTCTAAGATTCATTTTAATATTATCCACCCACCTATGTCTTTTTCTTTCTAGTGGTTTTTCTCCTTCTGGCTTTCTAACCGATATCCTATATGCTTTCATCTTCACCATTCGCGTTATCATGTCCTGCCCATCACATTCTCCTTGACTTGTCTAATTATACTTTGAGAAGAGTACAAGTTACGAAGCTCCTCATTATGCAGTTTTCTCCAACCTCCTGTCACTTCATCTCTCTTCGGTCCAAATATTCTCCTCAACAGCTTGTTCTCAAACACCCTCAGTCTATGTTCCTCCCTTATCGTTAAAGACTAAGTTTCACACAGCATTCATGTGTACAAAAATTAATAATTTTATATATGAAGTTCGCGGAATACTGTGGGATTAAAGCGAGAAGAAAAGTGTGCCACATTTTGAGGCAAACATATTTTTCGGAGTCTTCAGGTATTGTCAATATTCCATACCAAATATTCTTACTTCTTAACTTATTTATGGCTTATTTACCGACGCTGTCACTACTGAGAATGTATAGCGTCGCTGATAGGATGATTGATGAATATAGAGCAGTAAGTTTAATTAAAATTAGCAGGGGAAAAGGAAGTACGCGGAGAAAACCTGCTCCCGTGCTCCCAACTGATTTACTCAAATGCCACATCGGGATTTGGCTACTAAATATTTCCACCCTTTCACTATATTTATACGTATATGAGTGAAACGGCACAGATATTCCAGTTTCAGTAATATTCTAAAAAGTAATTCGTTGGGACAAAGGCCTTCAGAGAAACACGTTTAGCTTTTCATGCTATTTCCCTTCCCACATTTTTGGAACGCCGGGGTTCTTTAAGGAATTCCACTTAATCACGCCTTGTGTGACATAAAATGTAATTATAAAAATACAAACGCAGATTTCTCTACCTAAATTATCATAATATGGGAACTTTGAAATAAAAGTTATCCTAGGCACAGCCAAGGTATCTTCTCCAAGAAGAGGTATACGTAATTGATAAGCTGGAAATGAAAAACCTTATCGTGTCACAGTGTAAATATATATATACACTGTGACACATATTGGTTTGTGAATATATATATATATATTCACAAACCATTATGATTTTCAGAAATCTCACCGAAAATTTTATATCTGTTTCAACCATACAAAATTTAAATATTAATTTCAGAGTGACCAATTTCAAAACATTCAGAATAAAATCAGCATATTCTATATTAATACTTCGACATGTATGTCATTTAGTGTACCTGAACTCAATAAACACACACATAAATGTCCCAGAACTCAAAAACAGAATTGGTTCTGACACAATACATAAATAAACACCACTAGAATTTCAAGACATACCATATTTGACTGAATGATGCCCAAAAGTTAAGGAGTTCTTGCAACTTTCTTCCAGAACATTGATTATACATCTGTTGTATCTAAAGAAAATGGTCGACGTTTTCCCGTTCAAATCTGGTGTCTGTTATCAGCTTTACAAGTCCCGCACTGTTTCGTACCAGTTCATTTCAGTAACACGATGTTTCTCACAGAATCGCTCATCCAGAATGAAGGCAGTTCGATCGCTGTTGTTGCTGGATGACATGCGGCAAGTGTTCTCTGAAAGACGAGCTAGTTCATATGCTTCCTCTAAGTCAAATGACAAACAGATTTAGTTCAAATGCAGCACCGTATTCTGACAAGCCCTTGATGTCCACTTAACTGGTTGCCGTAGGCCGCGCCATAGCTCAAGCGGTTAGTCGCTGGCTCCCCACCGCGGCGGCCCGGGTTCGATCCCTGGTCTGGCCAAGTGGGATTTGTGGTGGACAAAGTGGTGCTGGGGCAGGTTTTCTCCGAGTACTTCGGTTTCCCCTGCCAATCTTCATTCCACAATCACCCTCACCTATCATCTGGGGCTGGTACAATAGGCCAGAAGTGGCCGAGGTACAAGGGACTTAGTCCCACCCCACTAGCAATAAAAAAAAGTAACTGGCTGCCGTGACTGCGGGACATCCGGTGAAAGTCGAGTCAAGACGGTCAAGATGTCGAGAAGTCGACTTGATATGTGCCAGGTAAGCATCATTTGCATTTTAACCCTTCAAAGCAGAGTTGTTAATAAACATGTCACCTGCTTTAACATTAAAAGACTCTGAATTCTGCGCACACAGAGTATTTGTGTGTTTCTAATCAGTTTTCAGAATAAACAGCTATTATTCCACTGAACACCATTGCCACGTTGGTCTTTGTAATGGAGACACAGTATGCTGCACTGTGCAACAGGAACGAACGCTAAGCGTTATTTACATGAATTTAATATTTCGGACGAATAAAATACTTATAATCCAAACTATCATATCTTTAATTGTCCTGTGAAACCTGCACTATGAAGAAATTAATAATAATAAAATATCATTTATTGTCAACGATACAAATTTGAAAATTGATTTTGTGTCATACCATTAGTCGACGTATGTGGGCTTTCAATGGCTGGCCAAGCTACAGATTTAAATTTCGCGCGTACGCACACGCGTAGAACTCAGAGGCCACAGGAAACTTAATTGGGGTAATTCTAAATAGACCCTAAATGTCCGGCATCTGTCGTCTACGCACATATTCATAGTGGATTAAGGTCTCCAATGGCTTACGGTACTTACACAATACGCGTATAAGGAAGCGCTTGGTAAGTCCCCGAATACACTATTAAGTCAGTGACAGGATGACAGCTGTGAGTGTTGACAAGGAACAGCAGTAAGTACTTCATTTTATGTGTCCTTTGCATGAAATGTATAAAATTAACCACTAATAGGGACGTCGTTTTTTGTACATGCAAGTTTATTCTCTGTAGTTCTTGAAGAATCTACTGCACAAATCTGTACATGTTTTGGATTTGAGGTTCTTAGAACGACTACGAAGAATAATGAGATATGACACCGTGAAGTCCCGTAGAAATTCCCCGATGCTTGAGAGGAAAATATTGCCCCCATCTTCGGCGTCGAAGAGTTAGTCATGAAGGTAAGGAGTTTGCCAGCGTACTTCTTGTTTATTCCGCAATCCTGAAGATGGAGGCAATTCGTTTCTCCGAAATGTCAGTGATGTGCTACCAGATTATAGGCCATCACATCCCAGAAGATAGCCCGTATCTTTACGTATTCACTACTGATTTTTACCTTATCATCTGCACGTAGTTCACTGTATTCCCGTTTACACATCAGCGCCTCTTTCTTGTCGTAGTGAGAAGTTCAATCAGTCACAAACAGATGGCGGGCAAGGCATGTCTGCAATTTTACATGCAATTCCATGGCAGCAGAGTAAAGTTTCAGCTTCAGCGAATTACGCTGTACTTACTAAGAAGCACGGGTCGCGCCATAGCTCAAGTGGTTAGTCGCTGGCTTCCCGCCGCGGCGGCCAGGGTTCAATCCCGGGTCTGGTCAAGTGGGATTTGTGATGGACAAAGTGGCGCTGGGGCAGGTTCTCTCCGAGTACTTCGGTTTCCCCTGCCATTCTTCATTCCACCAATTGCTCCACAATCACCCTCACCTATCATCTGGGGCTAGTACAATAGGCCAGAAGTGGCCGCAGTACAAGGGACTTAGTCCCACCCCACTAGCAATATAAAAAAATACTAAGAAGCACGAAAGGATCGCTTCTGATAACAGACAGTCTTGGGATCCGAATACGTCGATTGTAAAATGAGAATACACACCAATCTTTTCGTCAAAAATAAATTCAGATCGTCACAATAGCTTGTCGTAACTCGGAAAGCATATTAATATTACATCTGAAAATGCGCAATAACTATTCTGGTATTTATATGTCTTTAGTATAACAAATGTAAGGTTTAATTTATTACTATTCTTCTGTACAGTGTAGTGGGCCTATAAGTGGCAAAAATCTATTAGAAATACTTAGAAACTTCATATACATACACCCACATCACTATCATTCTCTTCATGGTATGCAAATCATTCCGTCATGAGGTTAGGTGACCAAGGTGGTCATACTTTGCCCGCAGAACGAACAAAGTCTTTCAAATGAACATCGTATTTCTCGTCTTCCTAGTGAGCGACATCGTCAATAAACTTGAGAGCCTGTAGTCTTCCACGATTTGGATTCATGTATTTATTTATGTCTTACGTAACGATGTTTTCTGTACATACGAATAAATATAAAGTTGAAAGATAGGATGACAGTGAAAGTGAAGATGTTCGGAAGGGAGTGTTTGTGGCAAAAAATCAAGTTATATTGTGGAATTTGTGCTGCGGGACTGAGGGAGGAAGACCACAAAGGACCTCAATAAGGACACCTGGTGTCCGGACTAGAATCGGGATGCTCAAGGTTAAGAAGCAGGAACGTCAACCACTTCAACGCCATATCAAATGATGAAGTTACTCAAGTAAATTATTTTTATGAGTCTGGTATTTTTCTTCTAAAGATTCACTCACTAGTTCTCGCTGATTTCATATCTCTCGTTCCTTGTTCATCCTCTCAAAATATATGACGACAGAAATAACTAAGTCCGTGGAGCTGAGCCCTTCTTGAGAAGCTGCCAGTTCTGCAGCTACTCAAGAACTTACCAGAATTTTATGGAATCCAAAGGATCATTACCGTGTTCACAAGAGCCCTCCACTGGTCCCTATCCTGAGCCAGATCGATCAAGTCCATGACATCAAATCCTTTGCCTTTAAGCTCCATTTTAATTTTGCCCACCCACCTACGTCTTGGTCTTCCTAGTGGTCTCTTTCCTACTGGCTTTCCCACCAAAATTCTATATTCATTCCTCTTCTCCCCTATTCGTTCTAGGTGCCTTACCCATCTCACCTTCCTGGACATGATAATTATAATTATACTGCAGTTAAATTGATCAGTGGAATTTGAATAAGACCAGCAGAGAACCATAGCGGTAATTCAATGCGATCGCAAAGGGCTAAGAAATCAAACTTAAAACATGCAGGTAATTTTGAATAATCCTGCAGAAGTTTGGTACTAATATTACCTGAAAACCAGAAGTAATTCATCTAATGAATTTTTTTGCATTTCATTAATCTGTGAGAGAGTGACAGCAAATAGGTCACAAATGGATATAAAACGTAAAATATGATATATTCCAACCTGGGAAAAAATTATTTCTCGACATATCCTCCACCAACATTAATACACTTCTCCCATCGCTTTACCAGTGCGTCGAAACCTGTAGCATGGAAGTCTTTTGACTGTTGTCTCAGCCACTTCCCCACCTCCGTTTCAACCTCTTCGTCATCAGCGAAACGTTTGCCACCAAGGCTGAACCGCTCTACACGACAAACACTTCCCAACATAAAGAGCCAACATTTCTTTATGAATATCCTTTTGCATTGAGTCCTTTTTCCCACAGAAAGAACGCACAACATAACGCTGCTCCTCGGTAGTATACGCTCAAGCACGGTCACCATTTTTACTACTGAAACCAGCTTATGAACATGTGTATGCGCGTCTGCTACCTAGACTCTCATTAAGCTGGTCTGTGCTGCTACCTAGTGATACACATAGAAAACCTATTACGTCCATTACAGATGTTTTACCTCCATTTGTGACCTATTTACTGAACCTCCCTCGTATTTTTTTGGAAGCTGAAGTCATTAACACTCGAAAAGACAATGGTACATACATATACCAAGTACATTAACATTCAAGAACTTAACATTTCTTTTCCCAAGATTTTTTTTTAAAGTTTCATTAGGCTGTACAATCGTGTCTCTGAACCGTATTATCAAATTCCTTTCATAAGGCAGATACTGTTTTCTTGGACGGAGAGACCAAATGCTGATACAGGCCTACACATTTCAGATCCACTTCATTCTTTGATGCGTTGCGGTTATAAGAAGGGGGTAATTGCCGTTGCCAACATTATGCCGTCGGAAAGAGATACTGCTGAAACCAGCAGAGCGCTTCATTATCTTCCTACAGGCCTGAGAAATCTGCAGACTGCAGCAACCTGCTGACGCTGGTTCCTCGCTCGCGGATTTTTTCTTCTACCCTGAAGCTGGAGGCGATAAGTTCCTCCGAAACGTAGATTTACACAATATATACAAGGCGCCACATCCCAGAAGGCGACATTCTTCATTTATGTAAAACTTTTCCTCTGCTTAAGAATCATGGCTACTTAATTGGTTAATAAATACCAGACCATGAAGACGTATGGGGAAGTGAAGGCATGGTTCCAATCATACTTAACCCCACTTTCACTTCCAAGCCACTATACACCGACGAATTAACCCCTGGTACCAGTTAGATATAAAAGCTATATGGACCTCAGAGCTCGTCTGGACGCTGTGGAGTAAAGGAAAATATCTTGCTGCCGCCGAGAATCGAACCTCGATTCCTCGATCGTTCAGCCAGTAGTCTACTCGCTATACCGACTGAGCTATCCCGGCTTCGCGATAATGATGTTTTTGAGTCAATAGTAAGAAGAAAATTACTAAAAATGAACTAAGTTCACCCTCAAAACACTCATTAGTCTCTGCATAAGTGTTGAAGATCTGCCTGTTTGTCCTATACATTGGAAACAATGCATTCTGTACAATTCCTGCTACCCACTGCACTTTGTTGTTTGTTAAATAAATCCAGAAAACAAGCACCAAGCTCTGGGTTGCGATTATGTCTATCTTTTTTGTGGCGAATGTAATTCTACAGTTCGGAACGGTTCACAGATGCTATGGTACGGCGGTGGGGNGGGGGGTGAGGGGGGGGGAGAGGAGGCGGAGGGTCGATGATAAACACGATCGGGGGTACCGTGTCATCACATGGCGCAACCTGTCTTCGGTCCAACTGGTGATACAAACTGTTCACCACTACGATGAAGTATGAACTCATCCCTGCAAAAAGTAAATGTTAACTGATTATTAAAGCCTGTTCTCAACATTTCATAAAAATTCGTAACTTTATTTCTGAGAACTTATGCCAGTTAGTCATTCACTTCACACATTGACACCAAAATTTCATTCACCGAACTGTTTTTTGAAGCGAAACTGCGATAAATGCTCGAAAGAATATAATAATAATAATGATGATAATAATAATAATAATAATAATAATAACATAACAAGATGTATGATTTGAGGTTCTCACAGCGGTGGTTATGAAGAGTTCTATCTTCTGCGATATAAGCTCGTATATTCCGTTGAAAACCAACCGATGTTTCGGTGGAACATATCATCTTCAGTGTCGAAGAATAAGTCAAGCAAGAAATCAAAGTGAACCAGCAAGCAGACAGCGTTGTTTTCTACTTGCTTCACGCTGGTGTATTGCTTGGTTCATTTTTTCGACCATGAAGATGGAGATGACACCTTCCTCCGAAACGATGAGTATCAGCGGACTACAGGACGTTTATATGCCAGAAGATAAAACTCTTCAGTATAAAAGGAGGTTACAGCGAAGGCGTCCTGCGCATAGACACACCCAGTGCTAGGAATGACGTATAGGGGAGTGGAGATAGAGCTCTGATCTTTCTTAACCCTAGACTCTTAATGCTGATGAGCGGTTAACTCCATGGGCCGACTGCTTTACCCCCCAAGCAAAGAACTCAAACTGGAGAAGAGGTTGGGTGATCCCAGAGCCGGTTTGGACAAAGTGGGGAATAGAAAACTGTGTTCCCCAGCCGGGAATCGAACCCCAATTCCTTGCCACACCTCAGACAGTTAGTGGCCGCCTTCCCGCTGCTACGGGGCGGGTTCGATCCCAGGTAATGTGGAATTTAAAAGGAGAAAACCACTGGAGCAGGTTTTCTACGAGTTATTTGATTTCTCTGCCAATCCTCATTCCACTAACTGCTCCATATTCTTTAATCACTATATCGCCGACGCTATATAGGGTCGACACTGACATCATCGTTAAAAACAAACGTGGAAACAGAAAGAGAAACCAAGTTCTTCGGTTCTTCACACCTTAGCCTTCATGTCCACCAAGCTAGTCTGTTCACCGCTTCCTGCCTGCCTATCTATATTCCTGTTGCTCCCACTTGGAGCATAGGGCATCAGTGGGGGGATCAGCCCGTCGCAAGGCCCCTACCTACACACAAACAGAATAAACTGTGATCGGTTCACAAAAATCTATAACAAAAATAAACTTCCTTATTCCTTAATTAGCCAAACGTCAGGTTAGAAATAAGCCTCAAGGAACATGTATTTCACATTCCCAATTTATTTGTGAGCGAGAAAACGGAGAATATTAAACTAGCAGCAATTTGATTTTATAAGGTGAATTCACGGCCAAGGTCATAAGACGCCAACTGGAAAGCGGGATAGGAGAAACGAGAGCGTACAGTGACAGGACATGAACACGCAAGAAAGAGAAAATTGTATTTCCATTTTCGACTTGTGGCTTTCACAGCGATGACTCTGAAGAGTGACGCCATTTAGCCTGGTAGAATTTTACTGTTGTTTCCGAGGAACGTACTCCTTCCACAGTCTCGTTTGAAGAATAACCCAAACAAATAGGCAGTAAGAAGCATGTGGCCTGCTTTTATTATTCTTTCACCTTGAAGATAGATGCAACAATGTCCTCCGAAACGTTGGTGAACTTTCCGGACCACACGGCGTCAAATTCCAAATGATAGTACTCTTCATATTTCCAATTAATTAAACTGTTTATATTAAGGACCTGCAGAACAGAGTGTGGACCTGTGACAGCTGACGCTTCGTCATTATCATTGGCAATATTAGGTGCAGATGTTAGGGCCCAATACCCGACAATGACGACGATATTTAGAATAACAGCAATGACTGCAACTGCCCGGTTGCTAGTATGGAATTGCCTATAGGGTTATGCATCAAGTGTCACCGGGTACAAACACGTGTTTATTTGAAACACCTGATTAGTATTACTGCACTCTGTTGTCTCTCTGTAAATAATCATTCAATCTGTACAATAATGATTATTATTTCCGAAAAAACGGACAGTGGATCTCTTTTGTCACCAGCTGTAAGACAGGAAATATTCCTACCGAACTGAGCCCATCAGAAAATCTCTGTTTTCGATACTGAAATAAGTGCCCCAAGATAGAGGCCAACTGTTTCTAATCGATCCAGTTCTGGAGGAAATTTCCGCCCTCCCGCCATACACTTAGCGAAGAAGAGAGATTCAGTTTACGAAGAGTTGTGTTTGAAGAATTTAGGACAACGGGACATTTCCAAAATAATAGTCATGTTTCGTGTAACAGACCACTGGCAGAAACATTTAGAACTGCCGTGATCTGGATTTATCTAGCCAACTTACGTTTCCAAAAATAAAATCGTGCACTTATCACGAACAAAGGCACATGTTTTTGTAAAATCTGATATCTTATATTGTTACGTACTGTTAATTTCCGATCACAGTGGCCGCGCTGTCTAAGGCATGAACCGTTTTTGCCCGTTCCAACACTGGGATCGTGGGTTCGAATCCCACACGAGGTACGGATGTCTGTGTCTATTCTGTTTGTAGGTAGTGGCCTTGCGACGGGCTGATCCCCTGTCAAAGGAGTCCTAACGACTGTGTATAGATTAAGAAACTGAAGACGCGGCCAAGGTCCACAAGTGCTGTAGGGCCGAAGATAGAAGACGTACTATTAAATAAAACATTCTAATAAAGAGCACACAAAGTTCATCGCAGTGTAAACAGTAAGGAACACACGCAGACTGTGTCCAGGTGCTCAAAATTCAAATGGGCTTAGCCCTGTGTTATTGATCTGCCACTATTTTACCTGTGCATAAGAGGCTAATCTTCATTGTCAGCAGGGCTAGTTTCCAGTCCACAAATAACATGAATACGCTTAAGACAATTACTAAAATACATGTCATAAGGAATACGGAGTTAACGATGATCCAAATGTTCACCAAGAGCGGCTTTTCCTGCGGACAAAGAGAAAGAGGCCTGCATTAACATCAGTAACGATGCGCATAGAGTTGTCGACGCTGACGCGCCTTTAAACCCACTCACGCACACACAGTTTACGTAAAGAATTGCACGGGGAAGCGCGGTGAGGCGGGACAACATTCCGAGGCACTGTGACAGTTGTATGGGTCGAAACGTCTGGACTCCAAGAGATAAAATAAACAAAAATATATTATGATATAAAACGTAATGCTCTCCCTGTAACAGGCCGAGGAGGCCCACAGGGTTGTAAGACGTCGAGGCTCCCACATTTTCTAGACAAGAGGCTCACAGATGGCGGTGAAGCTGTTAGCTTTACGCGCCGATTGCCCTTTAACCCCATGAAGATTGCTGGTACTCATTTCTATTATAGGCTAACTCGATCTCAGGGTCAGAGTAAGGCTGGAAGGATTAGATCACTTGAAAATTTCAAGGACCTCATCGGGAATCGAACCCGCGACCTCCCGGCTTGTAGCATAGTGCCTCAACCAAATACTCTACCGCGTGCCCCACATTATGACTTTCTTAATTACACTTTGCACTCGCCACTTATGCTCATTTTTGTTATGGTTATGAAATGAACAGAGAGACAGGATATTTAGCACAAACAATTAAAATTCGCAGTGTATACACAACTTTGTTGTGAAAGCCTCAATAGAAGAAGACACTGAGGTGGGGGTACATGGAAGTAATAATATTACAGGAAGACCCGGACAGAGCTCATAAACCCTACTTTCCTACTGCAGAGGCTTCCAGTCCTACATATCATGCGCTCTTAATGCCATATTTAGGCAATGTGTATTTAGAATCAATCAATGTCAATGCAATTTAGTCCACTGGTTAGCGTGCTGGCCTTGAGACTATGGTCACATGAGAGAATCTTAGTCGAGTCAGAACAAACGTTTGAAATTATACAATGATTTATTATTATTAGCCGTAGTAGTAGTAGTAGTAGTAGCAGCAGTATTGTGAAAGACTTATTACGTAATTATATATTTCTTAAAAAGTTGTCAGACATAACTTCAAAGATTGGCGCTATTAACATGTTTATAATTGCTGATTTAAAACAAAATTTCATGTATAACTTGTGGATGTGTTTATAATATATCCCCATTTCAAATTTCAAAGAAGCGGCTTCAACTCTTTAATATTTAATGACACCAAATTGACAACTAAGTATAAATCCCAAGCAGCCACCATTTTGTAGTTTCACATTCATTGTAAGTATTAATTTGGTACAAGCTACAGACTGCGTATTAAATGGTGGTACTGTGTGCTCTCACCTCACAAGTCCGTCCGTCCACCGTGCTGTTATTAATGAGCGCATAAGATTAAAATTTACAAAGTTCAGATGGCCTCCAGTAGCATAACCATACCACATTTCGTAAAAATCTGTAAATGTATTCAAAAGTAGAAATGATAACACATAAACGTACAGCATGGCTAGCTCGTATGGCTGCATAGGAAGAAAAATAGGCCAGACGAACATGTGAATATGTGGCTTCCATTCGCCTTGCCTTATGACGTGATTAAAACTAATGAACTTTGGGCTCCATAAAAGAACCCGAGTAACAACAACGTTCCGAGGAAGGCTCCATACATTGGAGTTAACTACTTAGTTGACGCAAACAAAGATAAATCTGCATATCTCTACAGCTATTCACGTGGGTTCCCAGTTCTGCTAGTTTCGTAGTCGGACATTGTGTTTAGAACATGACATGCTCAATATATTGCTTCTGGCTGTTGTCAAGGCTGACACACGGCGTATCTAACGCACTGGATGTGTCACTGAGTGATGCAGGTGATGGGAACAGGCATCACTCTCAGCTAGAATGAAATGTGAGTGCTTGCTTCGTTACGGGTTAAGGAGCAGTGTAAGATTAGAAAAACAGTGAAGTAAAGCTATCCCTGTGACAGGCAGTGGAGGCCCATAGGGTTGTGAGACATCGAGGCTCCCACATTTGATAGAAAATAGGTTCACAAATGGCGGTGAGATTGTAAGCCTCACGTGCCGGCCGCTCTTTACCTCACAGGAAGATTGCTGGCACTCAGTTTTCTTCGAGGCTGAGTCGACCCCAGGGCCATAGTGCGGCTGGAAGGATTAGGTCAATTGAATAATCCAATGACGTCGTCGAGTATCGAACCCGCGACCCTCCGGCTTGCAGCGTATTGCTTCAACCAACTGCGTGCCTCAGAGAAGTAGTAACTACCGTATTTACGCATGTATAGGCCGCGTGCGTGTATAGGCCGCAGCACAATTTTCAGACAGAAATTATAGAAAAAATAATTTTCTTGGAATATTATTTCAGGAGTAGAAAGTATTCCGAAATTTGGCAACGTTAATTTTTTTTAATGAAGTGTGATTTGGAATATTTCGAATATAAGCCGCACCCCAGTTTTCCTCTTGAATTGTTGGCAAAAAATGTGCGGCCTATACATGCGTAAATACGGTAATTCATGACAGTACACGAATACTCAAACACAAATGGAAACTCACCTTCCTTGCTCCAATTATAAGCAATATATTGACGATAATATTAAATGAAAATACTGCAATGAGCATGATATAAATTCCTGTAACAAAGAAAAAAGCGGTAATTAATAAACACATGAAAGGCATATTGCACTGAATTCATCCTAATTTAACGTAACTGTAAAAGGTAAGGTAAAGCTGTCCCCGAGCTTAACTAATTAATAGATCCACATTTTCTTGACGTCGGCACTAGTTGGAAGTGAGTGGTCTGCTTCACGCCCCTGTAGCTTTACCCTCTGAGAAAGAGTCCCTCCTACCCATTGGACAGGAGGCTGGGTGGGCGCCAGAGCCGTTCTGGACGACGTGGAGAAGATAAAATTCTTGACTCTACTGGGGCTCGAACTCCGACCCCTCGGTCGTCCAGCACATAGCCAGTCGCTATACCGACTCGTAACGTGACTGTGTGCAAATTATAAAGACACGTGAGACATGAGGTTCCCACAGTGGTGGCTGGAAAGTACTATTTGCGGACAAGTTTTACAGTTAGTTTCGTTGGATCTTACCGACGTTTCGGAGATAATACTACTTCCATATTTGGTGTCAAAGAGTAAGCCAAACAAACATGGACCAAGCAAACCAAACAGAGAATGTCGGTTGCGAAAAGAAAATGTACGAACTCAGTTCACTCAGTTTGCTTGGCAGACGCTGAACACGGGAAAGTCTCTGATACATCAAGCAGGAACTCGAAGACCAACTGCCTCCAAAACAGAGGGACAGAATTTAGAACAAAACTATACTCGAACACGGAAGTTCGAAGTGTTGCCTGCTCTTACGTAAGGCGTGTAATTTTAATGCTCTAAAGCAGATAACTGCAATGTACTTGAGGAAATGAACGATTGAAACAGAGGGTTGCAACTTCTGCTGGACGGGTCCCAGAACAATAATAACATTAAACAAACAAAAACAAAACAAACTCCGTGGCTTGGGTCCGCAAGCGAACTATACCGACCGAGGGACCGCCGCTTGTCGGCGAAGTTAGTGCCAACTTTAGCGGACAGAGGGTGTCGCGTGGTCAGCGCAATGAATCCCCACAGTCGTTAATTTCGGTTTTCTAGACCGGAGCCGCTATTTCCTTGAAAGAGCTCCTCAATTACCCTCACGAGGCAGAATGGACCCCGTTCCAGATCTATTACTTCTCAGAAAATATGGCAGCGCCGGCAATCGAAGCCGGACCTCTGGTTCAGTAGTCAGGAACTCTGACCACTAGACCACAGAGGCGATTCAATATTAAAGTAACAATAATAATAATAATAAATTTGTACGACTATAAAATCTATGCCATAAGAAACCAGGCTGGTAACTATGTTAAGTATTGGCCATGATTGCCGGTAACATTGGCTCCGCGGTGTAAGGCATGAACCGTCTTCGCCCGCTCCAACATTGAGGTCGCGGGTTCTAATCCCACTCGAGACATGGATATCATGTGTGCCTTTATTCTGTGTATTGTTCTGTGTGTAGGTAGCGACATTGTGACGGGCTGTACCCGCGTCCAAGAGTCCTACCGACTGTGTATAGGATTAAGAAACTGAAAAGCGGCCAAGGTCAAAAGGGCTGAAGAGCCGTAGAGAACAGAAAAAAAAAATGGCCATGATTATATCTCGCATAGAGAGGTGTACCCATGGAAGTGCGCATCGTTTACCTCCAGACAAATTTCTCTTCAACCCATAACAACTGGATGAGAATTTGAATAGAATGTTGCTCGGGAGATGTAGAGATAACGATACGGTTAGAGCTCGTCAAGAGATCTACACTGATGTCCAGTGACCTGTATTGACAGACCCGTTATCAAAACATATCGATCGGTCAGCGCATGCACTTCACGTTCAAGGTTTTCATTACTGCTGTATATGTTTGCATTCAATTCTCCTTTTGGGCCTCTTCTGATCGATGCATAGCACTCTGTCACTCTGTTTCTTATTGTGCGCTATTTCCCCGCAGTGTTGTCAAATGTTGCACCACATCCGCGCGGGGAATACCGCAAGCTTACGTCACAGCGAAGGCCCTATCTCAGTCACGAAACAAGCGAGATGGGTAAAAGATTCGAACGATGAATATTTTACAACCACCGAAAAGCAACAAGAACAATCCAGTGTAGGCGCCCGTGTAGCACTTCGTAACATGTTTTCATCAAGGTGAACAACTGTTAGCCTCCCGCCATACGGTACCCACAAACATTTATTCACCATGAAATTTTCTGTCTTCTCAAATATACTGCCGCGTAGTCCGTATATGAGCCGATGTTTCGGCAGGTACACCTGCTCTCACTGGTTTCTTGCTAGTCGACCCTGAAGATGGAGGTAATACGTTCGTCCGAAACATCGGTTCATATACGGACTACACGGCGCTATATGCCAGAAGATGGAAAATTTCATTATGATCGCTGTGAGAACCTCAAATCCTTTATTAATCCATTTTTGCAGTTACTCTCTTTCACGTTCCTTAAAAGGCCAGGACGTTTTGAGTTGCTGAGTGGCTCTTAGCTTCTATAGAAGGATTACACTCCACTGAGTTAGTTATGAAAACAACAATGGCGACAAGCCCTTGGGAAGTGTAAGTGACGTGTGTATTTAAATGTAAATTAGATTCTCAATATTTTCACCTCTTTTTTTATGGCTAGTGGGGTGGGAGTAATTCCCTTGTACTGCGACCACTTCTGGCCTATTGTACCAGCCCCATATGATAGGTGAGGGTGATTGTGGAGCAATTGGTGGAATGAAGATTGGCAGGGGAAACCGAAGTACTCGGATAAAACCTGCCCCAGCGCCACTTTGTCCACCACAAATTCCACTTGACCAGACCCGGGATCGAATCCGGGCTGCCGCAGTGGGAAGCCAGCGACTAACCGCTTGAGCTATGGCGAGGCCTTTATATTCTCACCTAAGTAAATGTTGTGACAGAGGAAAATATGTCTTTGTGCTTAATTAAGTCCATGAAGACATATGCATAGATGCACACAATGCTTTCTTATTCTCGGTACCAGGTATAGATGGCAAATACGCTTCATGACCCGGCCGCCTTAACTCAGAGAACACAGTCCCCAGTACCAATATGACGGGAGACTTGATGGGTCCCAGAGGCGGTCTGAAAGACGTGAAGATGAGGATATTTCTTCGCGTTCACAGAATTGAACCCCGGTTTGTGGATGGCCCAACCGTATGTTAGTCAGTGCGCTGAAAAGACTAGTCAGATCTTCAGGGGGCTACGAGAATTCTCTTCTTCTCTAAAGACTTGCGGAACGGTTATTATGAACCACAACAAATTGTAACGATTTTGTTTAGTACTCATTATTCAGTAGGACACTGTTTAGGCAATAGTGACATATGTCCAAATATGAAATAAAATTATGTAATAATGAAAGATAAATAAAGGTAAAGCTAACCCTGTAACAGGCCCATAGGGTTCTCAAACGTCGAAGCTCCCACACTTTCTTCACAACCGGCTCACAGATGACGGTAATGTTGTCAGCCGACCGCCCTTACCCCCGCCATAGTGCGGCTGAAAGGATTAGGTAAGTTGAAAAAATCCAGGTCATCGGGACTCGATCCCGCGACCTTCCGGCTTGTAGCATATTGCCTCAACCAACTACGCTACTGCGCGTCCCTAAATAATGAAATAATAACGGCGAAAAATACAAGCTCGAAGGCTTGGTAACCAAAATAATTTTCTTGAAGTGGAAAAGCAAATTCGAAGCCTAGACATATTTTAACTTCTTTAATAAATATGCCGATAGACAAATGAAATTTTATCCCTTATAGAAAGGTCTTCATTTTCCATTCTAATATCATATTCATTTCCTTCAGAATGCAGAATGACGTAATCCTGTGATTTAACTGCAATCCCACTTCTCCGTACCTGACACACATATCTTGAAGTCTTATTTCTGTGTCGAAATCCCACAGGTTTATACAATATTTAAATTGCCTGGCGTGATACAATCACATCAAAGCGATTTAATTATTTACAGTCGCAACCGTTGAAACGTGTGGGCGGGAAGGGCCTGCCTCACTAATAACTGTGTTTCCTACTCATAAACTGCCCATTGAAGGGGGCTTGTGTTGCTACATGCTACATTATTTAATTTGATATCGCCTCTCATATACCTGAAATTCCTCTTAGTACGTTATATCTCTCTTCAATTGCAACAAGCACGCTGTATTATTCAATTTCACCAGCAGTGCAACACCAGGCCCCTATAGGAATATTGTAGCGTGTAGAGCCGTTACTATGCAACGACTGAGCAAGATGAGCGGATATATCAGTGCCGTTTCTGGGCAACGGCTAGTAAACACGTTCCCGTTGTTAGGCAGCAGATTCTTAATAATGCAACAGTGGACTAAAACAAAGGAAGAGTTGTGTTGTCTATGTGGTCCGTGCCGAGATGTTATAAGTTAAGGACAAAGTCACTTGATAATGAACCTGTGTGGAGGCGGGGTCGAATATCTCCACCGTGACTCTGCGAGTCGTAGGAGGCACAAAAAGGGAAGTCTCAAATCTTAGACAGTAAAATATGGTCACGAGTCCCAAGGGACTCGGACACGAGAAATACTGCACTGGTAAGGACCAGCAGCGTATACAAAAGACAAATCCGTCCTCTCGTCAGAGTGGGCGCCCCCCCCCCCCCCTCGAGAAAAAAAAACAAGACCGCAACTGTCAAAGAGTAATAAATATCTGGTCATGAGACCCAGATGGGGCTAGACACCAAGACTTACTGAGTGACTGACCGTCAGTCGCAATGTGACTTTGACTTTGACTTGATGGTGAGTTCTGCACGGGAGTCTGCGAAGAGAGGACTTGGGCCGGAGGCAGAAGAATATCCATTGTTGGAGCCCTTACCAGGAAACGTCTAATAACATACTGAGAACTCTAAACTGTGTGCTCTATTGAAGTGTAAGTTATGGAAATAGAGATAGTGTTACAGTTATTTGTAGCTGGGACCTGTAACTGGTCAATACATCCATTCACTAATCCAAATCCCGTCTATAGTCACCCCTACACGGCACAGTCCTGCTCCACTAATAACTGTGTTCCCTACTCATAAACTGCATACTGAAGGGGGATTGTGTTGCTACGAACTTCATTATTTCATTTTATATCGCCTCTCATACTTGAAAGTTCTTCTTAAGTACGTATATCTCTATTCGATTACAGTAAGCGTGCTCAGTTATTTCATCCGCTAGCAGTGTGACACCAAGCCTCTACAGGAATATATGAAAGAAAGATTTCCTCCTCTTCAATCAATAAAAGCTGTAAAAATTGTGGAAATCAGCTGTATGCATTACGTAGTTTATACTCCACAGTGTCTCTTAATTTCGTACACACCCGGCCAGGGAACGAGAAAATTTACTGCTCGACTACAGGTCCCATAACTGTGCTTTCGCGCCTGCGTCACCATGAGGAAGAGATAGAACAGGATTGTCTGGTCATAAGGTTGAATTTTCGTATGTCCTGTCTTCTAGTTCAGGATTAGTCACTGACCACATGAATCAGCAGCTAGGAAAATATAACAGTGATGATAATCCGAAATTAAAATTGATGACACAGATATCAAAATTCTTAAGAGGTTACTTATTCTCTGCATTCCACCCTGAAATTGAATTACGAAGACTAAACGGCTACCACCTCTCTAGCTTACCATGGAAAAGACGGGACTCAAATCTTACCAAGTTTTCATATTTCTCGGGAAGACAACTGGGATATTCTGTTTTTTTTTTTAATTCGCTTAGTGGGGGGTGGAGTCCAGCTGGGTCCACTCGGCAAGGCAGCCACTGATTGGCCTATTGTAGCCTGCCCCGGGTGATTATGATGATGGAGAATATGGTGGAATGAAGATTGGCAGGGGAAACCGAAGTACTCGGAGAAAACCTGCCCCAGCGCCACTTTGTCCGTCATAAATCCAACTTGACCAGACCCGGGTTTGAACCATGGCCGCCGAGGTGGGAAGCCAGCGACTAACCGCTTCAGCTATGGCGCGGCCTTCTGGGGGTTGCTATAGTCTTCTCAAGGCAGTTATGCTACTTCATTACCGACCTTCGCGCTTCAAGTAACAGCGTTTGCCCGCTTCATACTCCAGACATTCCGCGTTCAATTCTTGGTCCAAAGACCGTAATTAAAACCGAGGTCTGTTATGATTTTCCTCAGTCTCTACTGGAAAATAATGAGGTACTACCTTAAAACAGATATCCTTCTAAAGGCGCGTCCACATTACTCGTGCTCGTACGTCAGAAGCTTACTGCTGCCGGAAAGTCAGGATCTGGAGCTGATATCTGTTGTGAAGAAATGCGAAGGCTTTGTATGCAAACCAGTTTGGGCGTCCACTTCGTCAGTTCCAGATCCTGATTTTCCGGCAGCAGTAAACTTCTGACGCACGAGCACGAGTAATGTGGACGCGCCTTAAGACTAGGGAAAAATTTCTTGCACCTGGCGGGAATCGAGTCCCGGACACCTAACCCGCAGCCCGTCACTATATCGTCTGAGCTATCCCGGCTCGGTCGGTCGGGTAAATTGCTTCTGGCCAGGACAGTCATTTCTGTTCCCAAGTGTCGGGGACTCATCATCACATTTTATTGTCTCACGACTCTACCCCGGCTCCTCCCCCCCGAGATTCTCCAGGGAGGTGAGTAATGTTTCCAGTTCAATGTGGGACTCTTTTTTAATAATAGTCTTCTGAATTATGACACCGTTTAGCCTGTTAGGTGGTTACTGACGTTTCGCAGGAACCTGTCACTTCAATCTTCAGGGTAGAAGTCAGACAACAGGTTGTCTCGGAAACGGTAGTAATTTACCAAACTACATGGTGTTAATAACAAGACCACAATCCAAATCATTACCACCACCCCCGAACCTCAAGAACTTTAAAGCGGGACCTACCTTAACGGTGCATTTGCTTTGTATTTTTGTGTTCCAAACGCATTTTGCATATTTCAAAATTAGTATATATGCTCAGTAAGGTTTTGGGTTTAGTGTGTAAATGACGTCATGTGTACCTTTTATGCCCTCGTCTAGAAGCTCATGTGTTCTCCGTCTCTTCTCTTCTTCTTCCTCTCCTCTTTCCACTCTTCGTCTTTCTTCATCCGTGTTGTTTCTGACAGAGAGGTGCTTCCCTACGGGGTTATACTTCCCGTATAACATAACTGGTACGATTGCAAGGGCTACCGAGGAAATTACCTGGAATATAAATACAAATTGCTTGGCAGATAAACAAATCAAAAGTCCAAATTCCAGTCGTCTGGAGCGACCTGATCTCTCCACCTTCAGTTCTACTTCGACGGAAGAGACAATAGGTTTCTCCGTAACGTTGATAACCACGTACCAGACTATAGGGCGTCATCATTCAGAAGGCCTTAACGTAAATCTTCACCACAGTCAATATGTAGAAATCGCGTGTATTCCAAGGCATAACTCACCATTCTTTTTGAGAATTACAAAACACGAAAATTATTTGTAAACAGTGAAATCTCAAATCCTACATATTTGTAAGTACGTAATTTCAACCTGTTATTTTCAAGGAGTCGGGTTAGCTCAGTCGGTATAGCGACTAGCTATGGGCTGTACAATCGAGGGGTCACAGTTCGAGTTCCACAGTTCCACGTCGTCCAGACCGGCTCTGGGGCCCAGCCAGGTTCATATCCAATGGATAACGGGGGCTTTTTCCCGGGGGTAAAGCGGACGGGGCGTGAAGCTGACCATTCACCTCCAACTAGTGCCGAGGTCAAGAAAGTATGGATCTACACATTCATTCCCCCGTATGCCTTCATGGCGTAATGCTTAATTAGTTAAAACACAGGGACACCTTTAACTTATAGTCTATTTTTAAAGCCAATAATCCAGGTATGAGCTAGGCATGTAGCATGAATGGAAAAGCTAGTACCGCATATCAAAACCTTCTGGAAAATAAAACACTTCGGAGACCAAGACATACATCGGAGTAAGAAATAGCTGGAATCAATTTCGTACATACGCGTATGTATGTGTATATATATATATAAAACAAAAAACAAACTCCGTGATTTCGGTTCAAGCGAACCATACCGACCGAGGAAGCGCCGCTTGTCGACGAAGTTTAGTGCCAACTCTTTGCGGATAGAGGATGTCACGTGGTCAGCGCAACGAATCCCACGGCCGTTAATTTCAGTTTTCTAGACCTTGAACTTGATCCTCAGTTATCATCACGAGGCTGATATGGATGCCAAGCCATGAGGGTAATGCTTGGAATGAAACCGCAGATCAACTGGCAAGAAAAGGACCTGAACAAGCTTTCGGCATCTCAGTAGGAGAGTATTGCTGGGAATGAAACCGCAGATCAGTTGGCAAGAACAGGATCTGAACAGCTGTTCATAGGACCTGGCCCAGTTTGTGGCATCTCAATTAGAGTTGCCAAGAGAGCGATCTGGGACTGGACTAACAGAAATCACAACAAACATGAGATTCCACAACTGAACTTAAACAGGCAAAGGGAATTATATCAGGACCCTCTGCCAAAAGAACGAGGGACCTATTAAAATTAAACAGAGATCAACTCAGATGGGCGGTAGGATTACTTACTGGACACTGCCACCTAAAAGAGCACCCTTCCAAACTGGGACTGACAGGCGACCCAACTTGTGAGAGATGCCTACAAGAAAATGATTCAGCCACTCACACATCTTATGTGATTGTGAGGCTGTAGCTTACTTAAGACATCGCCACCTGGGTCAGTTCTTCATGGAACCAAGTGACCTTTATGACCTTACATTTCATTCGAAGTGTAGGATTAATAAAGGGTTAATCCAAAGGGGAAGCACAATAGAACATTGAATGTCGCGGTGCGAGGTCCGGTTTTTATGGCTCACCCCTCATACTCATACTCATCATCACGAGGCTGAGTGTACCGCGTTCCAGACCCACTACTTCTAAAAAAAAATGTGGTAACGCCGGGAATCTAACCCGGACCTCTAGATCTCTAGCCGGGAACGCTGACCTCTAGACCACAGAGGCGGTCAACAATAAATAAATAAATAAATATATATATGGGCATGGGTATATACGTATATAATAGAATGAAATGTTAAATCGCTTGAATGGACTGAATGGGCAATTGGACGGATTGAACGGGGTAATTAAACGGATACATTAATTGAATGGCTTCTGCTGATAGCGAATTATTAAGTTGCTGGAAAGTGTGGGTGGATCGATGGACGTGGGGATTGATTGATTGCACGTGGTGACTGGCATTCTGATCGACTTTTTCATCGTTTCCTTCTTCAAAGAAATTATAGGATGTGATCCTAAAATAATGTATGTCCCACCCACTTCCTTCCTTTCTGTGGATTACGTCCAGTAAGCTGGGCTTCAACACTAGTATCTTGGTAACGTGTGGGTTCCGTGTTAGATAATTCGATTTATTGGAAAATTTCACATGTAACTAAAATTAGTTATTACACTTTAAAGAGTACTGCTTCTGTGACACACAAACAATTATAACATTCACAAGGTTAACACATCAACTACTGAATTGCCTTGAACGCGTCTTCCTGACGAAACCTTTCGAACAATCTTCACTGTTTCTTATATAGGCTCGACACGGATCACACAGAAAACACGCCCTCCATTGGTGACGAAGCTTGTTTACTATTCGTTGCCTAGCAATGGACAGCCCTCTTCCTATTCTTGGCCAAATTTTTTCTTCGGGGGAACGCATATATGATATTAGTGGAAAAGCCAGAAGGAAAGAGACCACGAGGAAGAACAAGATGTATATGCGTGGATAATATTAAAATATATCTTACAGAGATGCGATGGGGTGGTATGGGCTGGATTGATCTGGCTCAGGATATGGACCAATGGAAGGCTCTTAATGAATCTTCGAGTATCATAAAAATCTGGGAAGTTCTAGAATAGCTGCATAACTGAGAGCTTCTCAAGAAGGGCTCAACTCTATGAAGTTCTTTATTTAGTTAGTTAATTAGTGCCAACTTCTGGATATTGGCCCAATTTCTTACCGTAAAATTTACGTTGAAATTGGTTTCCAGGAAAACATTCCCTGCGGCTTTGCACGCCTTGGCTCCAGTTATTTATTTTATGAAAATTATTGTCCCCGGGGAAGTGACCCTGTGTAGTCTGTAGACATTAGCCAGAGTTTCTCAGGAACCTGGTGCATCCATGTTCACGTACGCAGAAAAGAGGGTCCACACGCTGTTAAACACCTACACGTATAAACCAGACTACACGGTATCATATCCCGGAATATAATATTGTTCACATACATTGCCGTGAGAACTTGAAATCTAGCCTAATAATTTTTTGTACCGATATCACATTTATTGTATAAATAATAATAATAATAATAATAATAATAATAATAAACATATGCTTATTTGGAGGATTCTCGTTGTATGTTCAAATTTTGGACTCCCATGTCTAAAATTTCTTGGTCATTTCTTTCTAAAACGCATAAGTTCACTAGTCATGACGGTACAGACGAGTTGCTACGCATGTGTGGCTCCCCTCGTGATCTCTTGTGTACACACTCTACAGGCGAAATATGAGAGGGCATCTCCCATTGGAGACAAACATCGGTCAAGCAGAAACTGATCAATGAGCTCAATCATATTTTGTATTGATACACGCGTCGGTGAAGTGCACGCGTGTTGCTTTATTATTTATTGCGTTTAGCGCGCTTGTGTTGGACGCAAGTGATAATTTCTTGGAAGAAAAAATAAGGCCTCTCTTCAACGATTACGCGGCAGCGCAGTTAGTTGAGGCGCTATGCTACAAGCCGAAGGCCACGGGTTCGATTCCCGATGAGGTTATGGGATTTCTCAATTGACCTAATCCTTCCAGCCGCACTATGGGTTTGGAGCCGACTCAGCCTCTAACAGAAATGAGTACCACGAATCTTCTTGGGGGGTAAAGGGCGGCCGGTGCGTAAAGCTGACCTCACCGCCAACTGTGATTCGATTGGCTAGAAAATGTGAGAGCCTCGACGTCTCTCTCTCCACTGCCTGTTAGAGAGGTAGCTTTTATTTACATGACTTAATATTTTACATCCAGATTTTTTCAGTTTTTTGTGGTCTATTATCCTAGGCATGATTTTTCACCATCCTTGATTATCAGACTGTGGTCTACCGTGTAGTATTGTAGTATTCCATCTTCCGGCCAGAAGTCGAATTCAACCCTGAGGATAGAGGCAGTATATTCGTCTGGAGCGTTGGTATCCCACTGAAAACTTGCATGGTGTCACATTACAGTTGGCAACATTGTAGGTAGCCACTCAAATTGTGCTTGGTTGCACCCATGGAATTGGATTTAATTTTCCCCACCACAGGGTATATAATAGTGAAGTTGATGGCGAGAGTAGGGGACATAAACTTCACGTAGTACCCGAACTACTGCAGGGGTCTGCTGTACTGTGCGCTAATCGAATCTCCGGTTCAGATGCGGGCAATTATGCGGTGAAGTCAACTGTGACAGAGAAAGGCACACATCATTTCGCCTGCAGCATATACGATACAATTCATTCTGTAAAAATAACTAACCTCATTTCCACTTCCGCACTTAATGTGGCTATGCCAGTATTATTGATAATAGCATTGTCCACAAATTATAAAAAATAAATTTATAAGTACAGAACTGGGTAAATACATTAATTTATTATACCATGTTAAATGGAGAAAATAATTACACACTACAGTCGCCCCATTTCTGCATCACTGCTCCCAAAATCTCAGCTCAACTACTACTTCTGGGCGTGCCTAAGCTCAGGCAGTTGGTCTCCTGCTTCCTCCCTCCCACCAACTGCTCCACACAACAGGCCCCACTATTGTCGAGCGTCTTACCCCTAATTTCCCCTACTTCTTACAGCCGGAGAGAAAATGATACGACAGTACTGTTCATCTACAATTTTGACATTTTCAGTGGCGAGGGAAGGAAAATGCATGGGGGAAAATCGACATCGGTTCCAGACGGTCTCAAAGACGAGTCGTTCTACATTACACCTGGAATCTGGGTCCCAATTTATGTATCCAGTTCTATACGTTACTTCCAATGGTTGGCAAATACAAGCAGCCGTTCCTATATGACGTCAAAGTTTTTACCTGTTTTAAGATAACTTTAAACATTTAAAGACTCAGTATATTACCTCAGATTTTACCACCACTTCAGTCAGTTTTCATCACGACCCTAAAACCTAATTCCTGTCTTGCGTGCTCGCCATCTTGGTATTGTACAGGTCACACGTCACGAAATTTCTCGGAATTTGCGTGGTTGGACGAAAATGTTTCAGCTGTACAGTGTCGCAATACTACTGACAAATGAAAGTCTAAACAAATTAACGTTCTTTTATACATACATACACGCTCTGAGCCTTACTTATACCGTTCCTTGTTCAGTTGGCCCACTGTCACCACTTTATGACATGTCCTTTGGTTGGGGGTGGAGGAGTGGGCCTCATTATATGGAGAGTAGCTGCAAATGTACAGAACGAATAGTCGCGGACAGCCGACAAGCGGTAGTTCTCCAACTTCAGGATTTGGTTCACAGTCTATCGCCGTAACAAACAGCATGTTGCATGGGGCCATAGATTTCAACGAATTCTTCGGAAATTAAGCAACCCGAACTGAATTCTACGTTTGGAAAACTGGGGATGACTGTGGAGTGGATTCAGTTGGCTCAAATAAGGCTCTGTATTGAATCCTTTTGAGTTCGATAATGACAATTCAGCTTACATAGAAGCCCCAACATTTCTTGACTGTCGGAGGGACCATCAGTAGGAAAAGGTAAAAAGGGTAAAGTCGTCCCTGTACTTAATTAATTAAGCATCACGAATGGGGGAGTGGAGGTAGACTTCGACATTGGATGGAGGTGAGTGGTCAGCTTCATACTCCTGCCACTTTACTCCCTGTACCAATTGTTTATGAGGGTGGGTGGGTCCCAAAGCCTGGTCTGGAAGCCGTAGCGTAGAGAAAAATCTCTTGCCCTGTTGGGAATCGAATCGTGGTCGTGCAGCCCGTAGGCCGTCGCTATACTGACTGAGCTATCCCGGTTTGAGTTTTATATACATATGTTTCCTAAAGACGAAATTAAATTGATTATATGCAGTACACTGCAAGGGCATATGAGAATAATATTAAAATGTATCTTAAAGAATTAAGATGGGCGGGTGTGAACTGGATTAATTTAGCTCGGAATAGGGACCAGTGACGAGTTCTCGTGATCACGGTAATTACATTTCATATAATGCTGAAGGTTTCTTGACTAGGTGAGCATCTGTTAGTTTCTCAGGAAGAGTTAGGTGATACATAGACTTACAATGTGATACAAGGCAATACAAATTGCTCCAGTCTTGAGCGCACATCCGCAGCAGCACTGATTAACCTTGAGCCCCATTTTGACGCTTCTTCAAGCCCTGAAAACAAAATGGTTGCATCTACACTTCAGCGTCAGCATACACTGTGACGCCTTGGCACTTTCGGTTGCAATAAGAGTGCCGCCAAGGGAGAGGACTGCCTGGGCGTCAGGCACTGAAAGTAGAGCAGACTGCAACATTTTATGTTAATATGCACAAGTGATAATACGGCATTCTTTGGAAGAATTATTTACTACTAGCCGATTTATCCGGCTTTACCCGGGAGTATTACACAGGTATAATTAGAATATTGATATTAATTACGTACATTAATATAAGGTAATAGAATTTTAAGCACTAACTAATCCATTACAATGTAAGTCCTAGACTTTTTGCAATTTTTTCAATTTCATCTTCTATTTTTGGGAAATTTAAAAGTAAATATACGTTAAATTATAACACACACATATAGTAAGCTATGCTTTTTCTGTTTTTGTTTTTACTAAGCTCTATGTAATGCATAAAACCTCAGTACGCTAGGGCGAAAGGGCCTCGAGTAATAAGAAACTGATTTTGAGGGTTTACAAATTGCCTCGAGGAGGTCGTTTTAAAACGCCTAAAACCTACCGAGGGACGCAAGGAAATTTGCAAATCAATTAAAACATGAATAATCGCCTTTTTTCAGATTTGGTATATGTCTTTCTATATCTAGCAAACTGAAAATTATACGTCGGAAAAACCTAACAGACAGGTATGCAGATTTAGTGAGTTTTTCTTTTGTAATATTTGAGGTTTTAACGGCGGTGACTATAAAGAATGCCGTCTTCTGGGAAGTGACGCCGTGTAGATCTTGTGTGAACTGACGTTTCGGAGGAACATATAGCCTCCATCTTCAGGCTAGAAAAATCCGCTAGCGAGGAATCAGCATGAGAAGTTGGCTGCAGTCACCCCCTCACACCAGTTCCTAACTCGCGGATTTTTCTACCTTAAGATGGAGGCGATATTTTCCTTCGAAACAACAGTTCACACAGTCTACACGGCGCCACATCCCAGATGACGGCATTCTTTAGTTTTCTTTTGTTTTTTAAGCTCTAGTGGCAGCAAAGACTTCAGTGCGTAAGGACGAATGGTTCTCGAACAAAAAGCAAACAGGTTTCTTTGGTGCTTCCGAAATTTTAGAGAATGTTCAAATGTCTAAAACCTCCCCTGAGAGCTCCTCTGCCATCATGCCATATCTGATCCCCATAGGCGAAACAACACGGAAATGTATAAAGTACAAACGGGCATGCGCCCTTCTTTACATATAGGCCTGCAGGAGAAAGGATTTAGAAAGTTGTAAGCATTTTAAGCACATTGTTACTATTTGCACCACTTTTTTTTTCCTTGGCACTACAGCCCCAGTGGGCCTAGGCCTACCTCCATGAACTCTCCGTTCACTTCGGTTTTGCTAGATCTTAGACATTCGGTAGGACTCCTTGGGCGAGTGATCAGCTCGTCGCAAGGCCTCTACCTGTAGACAAACAGAAAAACGCACACAAACATCCATGCCCTGAGTGGGATTCGAAGCCACGATCCCGGCTTCCGTGCGAGCGAAGACAGTGCATGCCTTAGACCGCTCGGCTACCGTGACCGGCGTGCACCACCTTTAACAGAAAATAAATACTGCATTGTGTCGAAGGGGTGGGTTTCGTGTGATTGTAGAATTAGCAACCACTACTTCCTTACATTGATCTGTTCAACGTATCTTTATAATGGATATGAAGCATGTATCCTGTGAACGAACTGAATTGTTCAGATGTTACTTGGATGAAATTCGTGCATCGAATTGTTAAATAGATCAGCTAGTAGAATGACTACAATTCAGGCTAGAAAATCAGGAATTCTGGGTTCGATTCCCATCATATGCAGAGACTTTTCTCTTATTCACAGAGTACAGAACAGATCTCTCCACCTGTTTCAAATATAACCCATACATTAAGTTAAAAATAAATAACAAATTATAATATTTATCAGAAACGGTTATTTAGAAAAGAAGATTAACGAGTAGCGTTAAATATAGGCCTACTTAAGAATTACAGGTTCTATTTAGATGTTTCTAGAAGGGGGTGTATATTTACCCATGTAAAATGTAAATAAGCAGTGTTGTGGGCGTAATATGATTACATTCACAAATGATTTTGTGTCCGAAACAAATCAACATCAACGAGGCTGGCCTACGCAAAAGCTCAATTAGAATGATACCTTCTAGTCTGTAGTACACATCTGAACTCCATTACAGACCTACATTTACCCCCGTACTATCAATACGATACTCATAAACACGCCTGAGTAAGAATTATAAAGAGTGAATAATTTTATTTACAGATACTTACCTCTTTTAATTTCTGAAATAATCCAAGAAAGGTATAAATTACCTCAAGTGTAGTAGTTTTGTTTCACTTCCGGAGTCACATATACCACGTGCAGAAGTGGCGGAGTCTATAGGAGACTGCTGGCTATGCAGTCATTTGATTAACTGACGTAAGCTATAGACTGTTTCCTTTGAGTTTGCCGGGCAGGCGTCAGGCTTCGCGTGGGGAGCTGTCTCAAATTAGGTCACAAGTACACACTGTGCTTTTAGACCTGTCCTCCTATTTGCATGTGACGGAAAATATGTTAAGAAGTAACGGGGCGGTGGTTGTATCTGAATTCTTAAAGGTGGAAGGGTGATAATAATGTACCTAAGGCCTTGACTAAACCATACACACTCAACAATCCTTATCTCAGTTAGTGTACATGATCAGATACACTGCGCATTCTCCTGCGAGCGGCCAGGTCTAAATACATGAACAGTATATAACCGTATCATTTCTTTCCCTTAGTTACTAAACTATCTTGCAAATACATATCCAAACAATGTAACACATTGGTTGCATTGAAATTTCCCTAAAAGAACTTCCACCTCTAAACTGTAAGTGAATTTATAATGTTCGTACTGACTTCAATCAACAAATTTCAATAGCCTCCCATCTCAACAAAAGGTAATTCAGGTTCTCACAGCGGTACTTATGAAGAATACTATCTTCTTGGTTATAGCGCCTTGTAGTCCGTTGAAAGTCAATCGACGTTTCGGAGGAACATATCGCAAGATACCAGCGTGAAAGCAGGTAGCAAGCCCAGTGATTACCATAGCGTTCCGAAGTAAGATGAAGATGAATTCTAAATTTATGCCTAAGGCGGCGCCATAGCTCAAGCGGGTAGTCGCTGGCTTCCCACAGCGGCGGCCCGGATTCGATCCCGGGTCTGGTCAAGTGGGATTTTTGGTGGACAACGTGGCGCTGGGGCAGGTTTTCTCAGAGTACTTCGGTTTCCCCTGCTAATCTTCATTCCACCAAATTCTCCGTCATCATAACCACCCGGGCCACGTACAATAGGCCAAACAGTGGCCGCCGTGCCGAGTGGACCCAGCTGGACTCCATCCCCCACTAAGCGAATTAAAAAAAAATTAGGCCTATGCTTAACTGAGCACCACTCAATCAATAAATACGAGTAAGTAAAAGTACGAGCCCATCACGGTAGCCGAGCGGTCTAAGGCATGCACTGTCTTCGCTCGCTCGGAAGCCGAGATCGTGGGTTTGAATCCCACTCAAGGCACGGATGTTTGAGTTTTTCTGTTTTTGTCTACAAGTAGAGGCCTTGCGACGAGCTGATCACTCCGTATGTGTAAGATCTAGAAAAACCGAAAGTGAACGGAGTTCATGGAGGTATGCCCAGGACCACTGGGGCTGTAGTGCCAAGGAAAAAAAAAAAAGAGTAAAAGTACGACAGGCATTTTTAACCCGGTACTGACCTAATCCTTCCAGCCGCATTGTGGACCTGAGGTCCACTCAGCTTCTTACAGAAATGAGTACCGGGAATCTTTCTTGGGGTAAAGGGCGGCCGACGCGTAAGGCCGACAACCTTACCGCCAACTGTGTGCGAACTGTCTAGATAATGTGGGACCCTCGACGTCTCACAACCCTATGGGCCTTCACGGCCTGTTTAGAGATGAAATTGAATCGTCATCTTCATGGCCCGGCCGCTTTATTCCCAGGAAATAATTCAGCTGCTGGATAGGAGACTGAATGAGTCCCAGAGCAAGCTGACGGAGATGATGGAAAATTTTCTGTGCATGACGGGAACAGAAACTTGGTCGTCCATCTCGCAGATAATTAACTATCGGAGGCAACTATTTTACTTTTGTTGACAAGTGGGTAGATTTAAGTAATGAGTATACTGAATGTACTCAGGAATTCCTTCCTAAGTATAACTTAATGGAGTCTGAATGAGTTTAGTGCGTTTCTATTCTAAGAAATGGGTCGTATTTAAGATAATCAATTTCTTTCTGTCGTTAAATGATTAAAGGGTTCAGCTAACAATTTCAGCCCTTGTCATGTACCAGTTTCTTACACATCCGTCTTTGAGCTTCCTGTTTTATTTGTAGCTTATTTAACACCACAGCGCGGCCAGAACAGGACGACACTAAAGAGCCCTATTCATGAAACAACGGAACCACGAGGAGGTAGACACTCAACTTCTTTAAAGAGAGGCAGTGTAAAGGACCCGAACCAAATTGGTTCTACAAATTTTAACAAAATCTTTTTAAACAACATTTGTAAATAAACTAATTTCAATAATTTATAAATATTTTAATATATTCATGCACATAGTTGTAGTTGTTAGAAGATTAGTTTTTATTTTCACGGCATTGTAATGATATTGTATTCATATTGACCAATCACATCGCAATAGTAGTTTCCGCCTGTATTCATATATCCTTCTGAAGATGGTCTCTCAGACCGAAACATGCCAAGGATGAGAGATTAAAAGGGAAGGAAAAAAGATCATCAGTCACACTGGACGGAATTGATTAACCTTTTGTAATGTTGCTGGTGTCACGGACAAGGATGAACTAAATCATTTTATTGCGAATGATAATGAATTGAAAAGGATCTGGAAGGAGTGGTCGTGGCGTTATTTGAGGCACTACACCGACATCCACCTGGAAATATTGAGGAAAACCACGAAACGCTTCAGTTAGACAGTCGGTAGTCCGTATCAGATTCTAACTGCAAACAACTAGAACAGGTCAGAAATATTACCGCTTGTGCGAAATTGCTCGGCGAGCTTCATGGAAATTTTGGTGGTGTTTTGGAATGATACGAACTACAACTTGATGCTTAGAACCCCCCAATACCACATTTCGTTGAAATCCGTTTAGTAGTCTAGGTGTTATATGCGGATAGACGTGCCGTCCGATCTTGATAAGAAAGTGCACCCTAGGCTAAAAAACATAAGTGTCACATTTGACGTTCTCACGGCCATGATACACACTATATTCTAGAATGCGATGACGCGTAGTTTGGTAAAAGTCAACCAACGTTTCGGAGGAAAATATCATCTCCATCCTTAAGGTCGAAGATTAAGTCAAATATGAAATCAGAAAGAAAAAATGTCAAATTTTCCCGGTTTTTTGTTTACTTTTAGGCCCTGGTGGAGATGACTTGTTCCACCGAAACGTCGGTTATCTTTCTTGACTATACGTCGTTATATCTTAAGACGGCACTGTGGAAATTTGCCGATGATTTGGAGGAACTTAATGCCTCTCTTTAGGTTTGAAACGTAAAGCACTGCTTCATGCCTGATTACGTGACTTACTCTTCGATCCTGAAGAAGGCAATACACTCCTTTGAAACACTGATGAACATCTACTGGACTATACGGCGTCAGTCGCAGATGACAATACTCTTCACAAAAAAGTTGTGTGAACAAGAAATATAAGAATCTCATACTCTCATAACATAACATGTGGATGGAAAAAAAAAAGTCTTACAGCATAACACATTGCGTAATATAACTAGAACTTCAAAATACACTTACTGGGAAGACAAAGTTTCTCAAGGCGCATCAAGTATTTTGTTAGTCTTCATTGTCGGCGTTCAACAGGCGCTGTAAATATTTTGCATTTCGCTTCAAGAACTTTCGAAATATAAATTTCGGATGAACCGCGGAGAAACAGTTGTTATCGCTTGTTGGTAGTATAGGACTGCACCCAGACGATCGAAAGTTACTGAAATAGGCGTCCGTTCAGTGTTGAGTCACGAATGGCCTGACCCACAAGTGACCGGCTCTAAGGTGGCCGAATGCTATATGATACTAAGATCAATACAGTTTCTATGTTGTACAGATATCGTTAAGGAGCTGGCAGGCAGATTCACTGTAACGGTGTACTCCAAGGCCTACATGTGTTTTCAGAATGCGTCTTGCTCGCTATTCTAGACACCACACGAGTTATTATCGAACATTATGGACGATTGAAAAGTACTCCTGATTCTTATTAGGGAGATCTCAGGTTCAAAAATCGATCTTAAAAGGCGAGATATCCTGACTGGTACTCTTTCCTTTCTTTCTTCAGTCATTCCAAGCAACTTCCTTTCATATTCCTTCCAATTCATTATTCAATGAAAAATTTGCCGATCACAGTGGCCGTGTGATCTAACGCATGAAATGTCTTCGTCCGCGCCAACACTGCGATCGTGGACTGGAGTCCCACTTGGGGGTATGGACGTCTGCGTTTATTCAGTCTGCTTGTCCTGTGTACGTAGCGGCCTTGCGACGGGCTGACCCCCGTCCAAGGACTTCTACCGTGTAGTAACATGAACTCTGTTTCAATTTCGGCCAGGACATTGATAATTCTGTCCGAGATTTTATATGGTTTTCCTCGATGCCTCAATTACGCCATCTACTCTCCTTAACTTACAGAGATATTTTCTTTCCTTGGCACTACAGCCCCAGTGGGCCTAGGCCTACCTCCATGAACTTCTCCGTTCACTTACAGAGATATACTTACCATAAATTACACATCACGTTGGGCACTACCCATTACCTTAGTTAAATTTAAAATCATACAAGGCTTCGAAAGCTGGATTTGCTTCCATCATCAGATACAAGAATGAGAAGGATTCTATTCAGATGGGTTCATTATACACGTCCAGTTTCGATCACTGAGCTGTCTAAAGGGCCCAGCTGAATAGGATCCTTCCAATTTTGTTATCTGATGATGGAACGAGATCCAGTTCCCGAAACGTTGTATAATTTTAAATTTAAATAAGATAATTAACAATGTCCAACACAATTTTATAACAGACCACTGTGGCCTGTGGATCTCTACATCCACTCCCCCATACGTCTTCTTGGCATAGCGCTTAAATAAATATGCACATGGACAACTTATCATTCTCGCAGACCTTCATGTTGTAGGGTCAATTTTTCGCATAAATGTTAATTACTCTTCATTACATTTCACCATTAATATCAAAGTAAGGTTGAATTAATGACCAGAAGCCACAAATACACCAAATTAAATACAGTATTTTATTTTATGCTTTCTTATTATAAGAATGCATTTCTTTATTCAGAAAGTCTTACAAAAATTAATGTCTGATGTAAAATTAGCAATTCATATATCAACGTACGTTCAATGTAAGGCACATTATATTTATTATCCCAACCTCGCCCCAACGGAAAGACAATTAAAATAAACATGTAAATAAGCAGGTATATTTGACGGTCTGCGAAAATCACATTTTATATATATTCACGCCAGTGTTACAACAAATTGTTACATTACTGTGCTACTTCAGTTATTAGAGTGGGTTTCATTTCTGCGACAGCGTATTTGAGTGGAAGTCACACACAACCGAGCGAACCAATAGAAGACAAGAACAGAATAACCAGCATGGCCCTGAAATGGGCCGTTTATGCTGGTCTAGGAGGAGACATAGGAGAAGTGGTAAGGATGTGCTGAACCGCGAACCGATGTGTATGTGAGGGAAGTCGCGTGCCTGAATATTAGAGTGCAGGGGAGTTTTCCCGCACTTAAAGCACAGGTTCGCTTCACGGTTGCGCTGTTCAGGAAATTCACTGCACAATGCATATAACGTTAGCTTGCACGCCACGAAGTTCAGAGGGGACATATACTACAATAACTACCAAAACATTTATATAACTTGGAACTGGCAATATATTGACATGATACCTCTTGGAGGCCAGTGTGGGTCATGCAGCTTTCTTACATGAGATGGTTTAACCACACTTAATACCGATTTTTTTCCGGCACACTCCAGCAGCAGGAGGCACCGGTCATCCTGAAACATGAAACAGCCAATGTCGGTCGCCTTGTAAGACTGCAAAACAACGCGACAGCTCAAAAATTCTATTCTGCTTTCAGAAATGTATGGCATAAATCCATTCCTAGAATCCACCCATTTCTAGTCAAGATATGAGACACGTTTATGGTAAATAAAATAAAAAAGTAAAGTTTCCCTGTCTTTCACACTTGCTTCCTTCCCCAGTTACGCTGCCTTCAAACCCTTGTTAGTCTCTTTGCTTTTCCTCATACCCAATCTGCAAGTGAAACAGTCACTCCAGGGCCACTGTTTATTTACTCTATCACTCCTAAGCTCTCTATATCACCCACTGCTCTTTCACAGCCATTATTACTCCCATTTATTTATTTTGACGGCCCTTGCAAGGGCCTCACATTCTTTGCATTTCTCCGATTGCTTCGCTTTTGACTCCTACCCCACCATTCCCTCTCCTTATATCATTAACACCTCTCAATAGCATGCTATATGTGCCATAGTATACTTGATGAAAGGCCAGGCATATTCCTAAGAAAGAAGACTGTGATCGCAAGGGTTCAGTTGGGGGGTGGTGACTCTGGCCACGAGTCTCAAGGGGCCTGGCGCCAAGATAAAATGACTGGCGGTAAACCGCTAGTCGTACAGTAACTCTGACTGTGACACGCTTGGTTTATCCTTCTTCCCTGATGACGGGAGCAATATGATCATCCGAAATTCGTCAAACTACCACCAGATCTCTAGGAGTCACATCCAAGAAGGCAATAGCCACTGCTGTGAGAACCTAACCTTCGTTCTCTTGCCTAACAGTTCCGCTATCCGAACAGATTAAAATAGTTACCCACGTTAAAGAGGTTACGAATATGAGGTCCACGTTCAGGTTTGATATAAATCGTTTTGAAGTCTTTCCAACGTTCCGGTAATCATCACAGCTGTTACCTTTACAGTATGAAAAGACAACGATAAGAAATTTTTCTGGAAAGCTGTAAGAACTTCAAAAAAGAACAGACGGAGACCCGAAAAATCGACTTCTCACTTGGCGCCCACCCCTAGAAACTACAAACAAGTGTGACGCTACAAGTGGGTTCAACTAGCTTAACAGGCATGGACTCTTTTGTTACGTTCTTATGCCTGGAATTTACTGTGTAGCTGGAAGAAGCCATGTATGACGTTGAAGGTTTCCCAACTTTACCGGAAACATTGCAGTTACCATCTTCCGGGTGAATTTCGTTGGAGGGGGGGGGGGTCAGAAGCTTCTATATGGATCAGACGGTGAGTTAAGAGCTGGAGGTGTGGTCCGACAATGAAGAGGGTGGGGCGTTATTCAACAGGGTGTGATCACATTTTGAATAATGTGGAGCTAAAAAAATGTTTTGGAGACCAGGTGTTCATAATATTGGGTGAAATCAAAGTGGACCCTAAAACCTTCATCATCACATATTTTCCCCATTACGGGAACGTTAAAAGATTTTTCCCATCATGCACTTGCATACATTCCTTTAAATGTGAGTGTTCTGCTAGTCCTTCGCATGTGTGACACGATTTAAATATTGGTTCGTCTGCAACCAAAGCACTGCGCTACTCACCGACAGCTTACTGCAGAAATACTGGCTTGATGTTCGTTTCTTCACCCCCGATCAACATGGCGGCGTGCTGTCCATCCGGTAAAGTGAAGCGGTAACTCCTCACGACCAGCAGGAAGTATGTGTACAGCACTGAGGACATATGAAGGTTAGACCCAGCAAATTTACGTTTTCTGTACCCAACACATTGACTGGTTAATTTATGTTATTTATGTAAACTCAAAATATTAAATGCATTTCGATTCTACGATGTTATAGATATCTAATGTCTTCGAAGGTAGTTCTGGTCCCAAAATATGCATTTCTTTAGTCTGTCACACAAATGTAGAAACCTATATAATCTTTAACATTTCATTATCACACTACGCAACAAAGAGGTTAGGTTATATCTGAGGTTATGAATCTTCAATTACGGTAATACCAAAATTCGTCCTGTCTAATTTCCACCCATATCCCCTTTTGACACGTGTCTCTAAAATCCAGGTTAATATTTCATTGTATCTTCTGGGTTTCGAAGAGATTCTAGAAGACATTTCTGCATCAAAATTTTATACGTATTTATACTTTCCGACGTACAATATATAATGGTCCTACTAACAATTTATACTCCTCTTAAGGTAAGAATATAAAGCACATCCAAATCAGTAAAATACAATATATAAGAATTATTCATTTAAGAGTAAAACCGGGTGAACCGTGCTGCATTTATTAGCAAACAGACAAAACTTACGTAGGCCTGCGTGACAATATATACCTTCAATTGCTACCGACTACTGGTGCTGTGGAAGGGCGTGAAACTCTTAACTGAGACTGGACTTACCGATATTGACGAATACTGCAATTTGGTAGACCGGACTGAAGGGTACCCGGAAGAAACCGATTACGAATCCCAGGATGCACAGTCCCAAGAGGATGGTGTAAGACACAAGCCAGGTGAGAAGAAGACTTCTTCTTTCCTGGCACGATTATAGCATACGATTATAAAGCTGCCGCTCAGGATAAACCAGAATCTCTAATTATAATAGCATTTTCGGTTTTGGGTTGGTTTTCAAAAATAAAATCAACCCAATATTCTGATGTCTGTGTAACACAAAATTCGCACAACTGACCCTGTCAACACAACAGAAAGACACGTCTGAAAACCACTCCAAAGATATTTTGTTTGAATTCTTGCTTTCAGTTAACTTCAAGAAGTTGATTGTCTTATAAATAACCAATCACAGATATAATAATTTATACTGAATTAATTTTTGCTCGAAATTGAAGAAATATGTATTGAAATTACTAATCTAAAAGGTAAAGGTATAGATGTCCCTGCGCTTAACTAATTAAGCATTACGCCATGATAACCTATGGGGAGTGGATGTATAGATCCATATTTTCTTGAACTCGGCACTAGTTGGGGGGAGAGTAGTCAGCTTCAGGCGCCAGCCGCTTTACCCCCGAGGAAGGAGCCGCCGGTACCCATTGTATACGAGGTTGGGTGAACCCCAGAGCCAGTCTGGACCGCACGGAGAAGAGAAAATTCTTGCCACACAGGGACTCGAACTCCAACTACTTCGTTCTTCAGCCCGTAGCCATTCGCTATACCAGCTGAGCTACTCATTTGTGTTACGATAATTAACTGCTAGATAAGGGATTTGGTGCGGTGTGTTATTACACTTATGTCTGCAGATTTAGAAAGTTTTATAGTCCAAAAATGACTGCAGTCAAAATGAAACTAAGTTATGTCAGGCAATATGGATTTCATTAAAGACTTCGACGGTTCATTCTGAAAGTGGGGTGTGGTCAAGAAACATTCAGATAGCCTTCAATCAATTATTGTGGCAATGGAAGAAAACAAATGAACTGAAATATATCATGGAGAAATGCGTTTTAATTTAACATTCATCAGTGTAAAACTTTGTAGTAAGTAAATTCCATGTCCAGGGCCGCGCCACAGCTCAAGCGGTTAGTCGCTGGCTTCCCACCGCGGTCTGGTCAAGTGGGATCTGTCGTGGACAAAGTGGCGCGGGGGCAGGTTTTCTCTGAGTACTTCGGTTTCCCCTGCCAATCTTCATTCCACCAATTGCTCCACAATCACCCTCACCTATCATCTGGAGCTGGTACAAAGGCCAGAAGTGGCCGCAGCACAAGGGACTTAGTCCCACCCCACTAGCAATATGGAAGAGCCATACAGTATTTTGTTTGAGATAAAGTAAAAGAAAAAAAATAAAGTAAAGCTATCCCTGTAACAGGCCGTGAAGGCCCATAGGGTTGTGAGACGTTGAGGGGTCCCACATTGTCTAGACAATCGGCTCAAAGATGGTGGTAATGTTATGAGCCTTTTAGGATAAAGTAAACGAAATATAATTAGCAGAATAAACATGGCGGTCTACGACTGAATATTTCGAGCAGAGGCCCATCTCTTTTCCTTCGAAGATTTTTGTTTTCTGGAATGTGATACCGTGTAGTCCTGTAGACACTGACTGAAGTTTTCGAGAAACCTCATCTCTCCATATTCAGGGTAGAAATACAGGACACTATCTCTCTCCTTTCGATTATTGCATTCTCGGACTCCGTACATTCTGGTGGAATGTCATTAAAATTTTCGGATTAACCCGCTGCCCCCTTCTTCACAGTAGAACTGAGTAATTCTTCTGGCCTGAAGATGGAGTAAATGGGCTTCACAGTATTGTATCCCACGACAAAGTAATACTGTCACAGCTGTAGGATCTCAGTATCACATATTTAGGTTTTACATCTGTAAGGGAATGGCTACAGTCTCATATTAGGGGAAGAATTTGACAAAGAAAACAGATACTAATACGAGAAGGATTGTAATGAAACCTTATCAACATAGTGCAGTCATGGTGTAACGGTAACAGTAGAATAAGATGCAAATATGTGATAATGACTGGGGGGGGACGATAAGGAGAAAGTTAAGAAAATATCATTATTAAGAGTGGAACTGTTTTCTCGAATGTGAGGCCGAACAGTCTGGTAGCATCTCTGGTGTGTCGGTAAATATCTACCAGAATACACGGCGTCACATACCAGGAGACAGCACTCCACATATCATTCCCACGACAAAGCAGTACCTTGCTCACTCCCAGAAGCAGCAGACTGTTCAGGACACACTGTATGGACGAGCCGACGAGTGTTGATATCAACACTAGTTTGAAACCTGTAATTTTAATAAAATGTGGTTACTGATTTTCAGATGCTTAAAGACCTTCTTTCGATGTACAAATTATATGGCTTCAAGCGAGAGGAAGGAATGTCTCGAATGGTAGAAATATATTGAAATAATTTGGAAGGAGATAAAGGTAAAATTGTCCCTGTGCTTAAATATCATGCCATGGCTACGTATGACGGTAAGAAAATATCGCTTCATGCATTATTAATCTGGCAAGAGATGGTCAATTTCATGCACCAGCCTTTATAGCCCCATGGGAAATATCCTCTGGATCCACTGTGCAGAAGTTTAGGTGGGCCCATGTGTCATAATATTCAAAAGTCAACTTTCAGTGTATTCATCTAAGGAAACTGAGGAAGTCCACCTCTGTTTGCTTGCGGGTACGCTTCCTTGAACTGAACCCATTACCTTTCAGTTATAATTCCCAGCCTGCCCGGGATTTCGTAAAATTAAATTGTACGCGGTTTTAAGACAACGATTCTCAATCATTTGCATCTTATAGTACACCGGTAATATTGTAAGAAAAAAAGGTGGGGGGAATTCATTTATACTCGCCCCCAAGGATTTTTTCTCTGCAGCTAAGCAAATTTCAATACTGTAAACGAAAGATGCCTCGCTCTGTCACCTGCCACGTGCCTGTTCATAGATGGCGCTCCTGCATACCTCCGGGGGAGAAGATACATTTATGGGAAGGTTAGTAGCAGGAGAAAACGGGACAAAACAAGAAGCCTAGCTTCAAAGCCCCTTCAAGCACCATGAATCCCACGTGATGTCATACGGGACTGCAGTCGGGCCTATGTAGTGAGAAGCCGGCCTCTGGCGTATTGCGTTACATGTAAACACAATGCTTAGGCAACGAAGCTGTGAACACGCACCCTTAACATTATAAGGCCGTGTTTTATGTAGGGTCCGTGCAGAGGAGTTACCGGCGCTACAAGTTCAGTTCTCGGTAGGACATAGCCATGGGAAGTTCGTAGTAGTAGAAGAATTATAACTCGGAGTGTGAGGACTTGGACGTGTGATTTGAAGACTTCATGTGCGCTGTAGTGTAGCGAAATCTGAAGTGTGACAGTTACAGGTCCTATGTTAAAATTCGTCACCACAAAACGAATAGGGAAAACTTTGCAGAGGAACAGCCATTCTTGACATCTTTTACCTAGCAACGATTTATGTGAGCAGACGCTTAAGACGTTATAATTATAGTAATCCTTAGAGTATTATAGTTAATTGTAGTTACAACTTGGGAGTACCCAATAAATCTATTCCCCCAAAACTCGCGTTATTAGTCACTAATACACGTGGCAGTATTAATCATCAATAAATGTTACTAAATTTGAGAGCTTGTTCCTCTCCCATCCCGCCAACCGTCGAATCTAATCAGCGGAACGCGTCCCAAGGGTAGAGAAAACATCGCAGTTGAGGTGTTTAGCGGGCTCTTGTGCACACCTCTATAAACACCTTTACTAAGTAGATGGACACTTTCCTTCTCATACAGCAAGTTTCTTTCGAGATACTTTCACGAAAATCTACAGAATTTGCGCGAAACACTTCTTAGATCCCATATTTACTCCAAAATACAAATGTGACACATTCAAGGCAGTAGTTGCTGATGTAATATATTCATTTAAGTTACATTAAATTGTTCTTACAGAATCTAGAAAAGATCTCGAGGTATGTACAGTCGCAAGGATAATCACTAAGTACCGTATTTACGCATGTATAGGCCGCAAATTTTTTGCCAAAAATTCAAGAGGAAAACTGGGGTGCGGCTTATATTCGAAATATTCAAAATCACACTTCATTTAAAAAAAATTATATTCATAATTAGTAATATAGGGTGTTCTACTCCTGAAATAGTATTCCAAGAAAATTATTTTTTCTTTAATTTCTGTCTGAAAATTGTGCTGCGGCCTGTACATGCGTAAATACGGTAGTTTAATCACAAATATTAACGCCTTCCGGACATTTAAAAAATGAATTGTACAATTCTGCTGTATATTTGTCGTAAAACTCCATTTGAAAGCAATCAGTACTACCTTCTGAAATGTTGCACCCCACCTTACAGACGTTTCGCAGTTCCCTACCGCCTCTGTTTTCAGGGACTACATGTCTAACGATGACGCAAGCGGTAAGCAGAACATTGCAGCGCGTTTTGCTGCTGTTTTCTTTTCCTCGGTTTAATATTTAACCCTTGGGATGGAGGCAGTATGCTGCCCCGAGCAGCCAGTAACATCTCAGGAGACAGTACTATTCATATCTAGCCCCGTGAGAACCTCAAAACTCACCTCCTTTTTTTACTTGTTTATGAACAGAACCAGTTTATATTACACATGGAGCAGATACCTGAACGGTATGGTTACACTGTTTTCCCATCATGCATCACTCAGTTGCTCTCCACTGTTTGCCCATCATGCATCACTCAGTTGCTCTCTCCACTGTTTTCCCGGCATGCATTACCCAGTTGTTCTTCACTGTTTTCCCGGCATGCATCACTCAGTTCCTCTCCACTGTTTTCCCGGCATGCATTACTCAGTTGTTCTTCAGTTTTCCCGGCATGCATTACTCAGTTGCTCTACACCGTTTTCCCGGCATGCATCACTCAGTTGCTCTCTCCACTGTTTTCCCGGCATGCATCACTCAGTTCCTCTCCACTGTTTTCCCGGCATGCATTACTCAGTTGTTCTTCAGTTTTCCC